TTGTCAAATTTAATATTTCATAACAAAGTGTATGTTAATTATATGTTATTGTAATTAGTTATAAATTGCCTTTTTTATTTGGTTATGTATWAAATCAGGGTAAGTAGTCAATGTTGATAGCAAGTATAGCAACAACCTAGAAATCACAAGTACATGTGTTGACCACTTCTACTCTATGCAATAGCAAAAGGACGTTAACAATCAATGTAAGTATTAWTAGTGCTTAGAAGTGAATTAGCTACAACCRTTTACTGTGAAACCATTAAAATGTGTTAATAATGAAAACATTAATTAAAAATTATCTAAGATATTCAAATTATGTAATGAGGAGTAACAAAACCTCTAGCATTGGTTCACGCGTAAAGATTACTTACAGAATTTTCTTTACTTACTCAAACAGCTGCTAAAAAAGCATAGAGCAGTAGTTACTGTAAAACCAGTTATGCATTATTCTCACCAAAGCCACTTGCAACTGCAACGGAATGCGCGCACTAAAACTACTGAATATGTTCTCATCGGTTGCAATGCAACTGGGAAGTGATCGAACCATCGAACTTATTTGAAATCGTTTGAGGCAAATCGACATGCACGGAGGTTTTAGTCTCCAGTTTCATACAAATAACCATCTTAGGGTATCTCAATGCAATACTCAGCTTCATACATTACACCGGATCCAAACTTAACATTTAGACCCCTCTTGGAGCATCACTAGCAAGCGGTCCACCAATATCGGTTTACGTTCAGGTCAACTGCAGAGAATATCACGAGTAAGTATTTACGATGATTGAATCACAGAGTACTTACGGAAATTGAATTTAGAAACAACATCGATGGAACACCGAACAATTTCAGGAGCACCGATGCGAATGGATAAAATTACTGAGGCGAAAATGTGGGAGTTGAGCAACGTCAAGCGGCGTAATTCGTAACCAAAAGTAAAACACATACACAATATGTACACAATTACTATGGACTATGGAGTCTCAGTAATCGAAATTCCAGTTTAGCGATTTACTGTTCACACAATCAGACCAGGCGGCCGGCACCAGACAAAATACCAACCAATGATGAGAGGRAGCGACCGAGTGATTGGTCGAGGGGTATGGACAAAGTGACGACGAACGGTGYGTCGACGCGTCACAACATAAGAGAGTAGACACAGTGTTACCAATTTTCATTACCAACACCTGAATATGTGGCATAATAAAACTGCCGCCGCAAACCGATGACAATTCAAATTACAAATAATGGTATTATTCCTTTGAGTGGACGACTGATGGGAAATGACAATAATTRAAACCAAGTTCCAATAGTTTTTCAAATTGTTAGATAAATGTATTAAGTATAAAAAAATAAGTTGGATATATTAATATATTCAAAAAACTTAATTTACTTTGTTGGTTTCTAAACAATCAAATAATTCAAATAGTATAAAATCAAGATTAAAAAATTATAAAAATCAAATGTAAGGTTCTATCATTTTTCAGTCATGTTCTCAGGAGCTATTTAATGGTAAATCTCGGTTGCCAGATTGATGTTCTTATAACTCTTAGCTAGTGAATTATATATTTTTTTATATATGTATATATATATATATATAGAGAGAGAGAGATGTTTCATTACTCAACTTAATAATACTAAAGCTAACACAAGGTTGGTTTTTAAGAACGCAAATTTACAATGTGGCACATGAACCAAATTTACAAAGTAAATAGTGTGGTGATATCCTCTTATTCAACACTTGAATATATAAAAATGGGCAATATCACTATAAAATCTTATCATTCATAGTTCTTATTATTCTTAAATGTTTATGGGCTTATGGTGTATAGACATATAGTGATAGACACATAACATAACAATAACTCAGTACAAATACAAGAGAATCTGAATATTTTGTATCATTTWAAAGTTTCACTTCATCATTCAGAAAATTTTAATAATATGTAATTATTTATTGTATATAATAAATATATAAATTTTTAAACAATTATTCATTGAAATTAATGTTAAATACACCATAACTAATAGTGATATACATAAGATTAAAAATTATCCTTAGAACTAGTTGCTGACAAATTGATTTCTGCTTAGAATTGTTTTTCATATGCAATGATTCATCAATGAATTCTAATCTAACATGTCTGTTAGTTCAATGAGAGGAACACTCAAAATAATCTTAACAGCTAAACAACTTGTTAAGTTTTTATACTTGAAAATAATTTGTTTAATTGAATGTAAACCATGGCTTAATGGATATCATTATCAACAATTTGATTAAAATTACTTACATTGTCTAAACTCTAAAGCAACAAAATATGATTAAGTATGAAGGAAATATATATAAATTATTAACAACTAAAATATACAAAAAAAATAATGTATTTTAAATGAGTTATAATAAACAATAAAACATAGTATATAAACTAACTTAGAATAGAATAATTATTCTATGCATAATTGAGGTAAAAAAAATAAATTGACAATAAAAATTAATATTAGTCAAACTTAATTAATATAATAGCATGGATTAGAACACTATCTAGGTYTATCTTTCTATAGTTAATCAAATGTTTATTAATACAGGCATTGAGGCAAACAAAATTGTTGAAGTATAAACTATGTTTTACATCCATGTTAGGACATTTGTCTTAATTTAAAAGTAACRACGAGGGTTAAAAAAGTTAATCAAATAGAACTAGAAGAGATGGTTTATTTTATTAAMATTTTGGTTTTATACTATATAAYAGTATCCATAATAATATTTTTAATACAACACAATATGTTTAACTACACATTGGTTAAATACAAATATATAGAAAAAAAAGGAATGTAATCCTTTTTCAATAGAATAACATATTTATATAGTTTTATTCATAAATTTTTAATATTATTGTTGCTGTTGATAACTACATATCTATAATATTCATTAACATGTATATATATATTTCAATATGTAACCACACAAAAAAGAAGACAACAGTACATATAATAAGAATATAAATTTAAGACAAGCATTTTAATCAGGGAAACCACTTAAYAAGAAACCATAAATATAAATGGTATTACTATTAGTAAATTGGATCTCAATAAGAGGTATTCTTCACTTCAATTGAAATATCAATATATTTATTATTAACACACATTGCATAAAAAAATATTAAATTTATACCAGTCTCATTCTTAAATCAGATACAACAGTTCAAATGTAGATGTTATTATTATTATTATTATATTTTTTTTTTTTTGGAACAAGTAGTTTTATTCTTATATTTAATGTAACATTTTACTATATTATAATAGTGATCAATCTAAATTTGAGTTATACTACAAACATTTACAATTTTTAAATATACTTTTCTTTTTCTTTCTATAGTATTTAAATATTATATTTTATTTTGAATTAAATAGTAAAAAAAAACTACATTTGGCACAACATATAAAATACATGCAATAGTTAAGACAGAAAAATAAATGTATGTTGTGTAGTGAGTAAAAAAACGATATGTAAGAGAAGAAATAACTGGTTCATATTGTTAGTTAAATAAATGAATATAATATTGGAACAATTAAAATGTGGATATGATACTATAGACGGTAATTAATAATTATCGATTGTAAAAAATTGAGACCATAAGTTGTTGAAGAATTATTATGGATTTCAGACCTTATATGGCCTCCACTAATATAATTTAGTTTCTCAGAATTGTATCAGTCRAATTTCCTTTAAATAAAAATAAAAAATAATAAACATAGAACATTAGAAGTATTCTGACGTATTCTTCTTAGAAAATAGTAAAAGCAACAAAAAAATCACATTCGTCTATTTATATCACTAAGATTATAAGAATTTACATGGTTAGTTAAAATAAAATAATATAGTATTATTAATACTAAAAATATAGAAAAATAAATTAATATTATTTTAAATTCTCTTGATAACTAATACTTTATGTATGAAAGTATGTATATTGTATTCTCAAGTCATAAACCAAATTACCTAAATTATTTTACATAGTTCAATATTAATTAAAAATACGTTCATAATATTATAAAACTAAGTATAACACGAGGTATAATATTATTCTAGAATGTTTTTTTAGCAATATTTCATAAAGCAAACAAAAACATTTTACGAATATAATAACTAAAACCTACTGACTGAGTTGCAAATACTGAATACTTTAGGTAGTATGTGTATACTTAATTTTCTACACTTTCAAAGGACTTCAAAACAAATTCTTTGAATACATTATATGCTTTGTCTAAGGACTCGTTTATAATAATACAATCAAAGTTTCCAGGCGTTTCTCCTAAAAAAATATATGATGAACATGATATGTTAAGTATGCAGTTGTTTATCAGTTTTAATTAATATACTAACCGTAGTTGATTTCCTGTTGAGCGACATTCAGTCTGGCTCGTAGATTATCTTCAGACTCTGAATTCCGCCTGCGCAATCGTACTTCGAGTTCACCAATACTGGGAGGTTTGACAAATACACAGACCGGTTTCAGGGAAGTCACATTTTTTATTTGAATGACTCCTTGCATGTCAATATCAAGAACACAAATCTTGCCAGACTTTTGAACATTTTGTACTGCTTTGAGGCTGACATCATTAGACACATWAAAAATAAAATAAATAATATGGACAATGGAGTTGCACTGAAAAACTCGGATAGAAGCCAACATTACCTGGTACCATACATATTGTTAGAGAAGATGGCGTGTTCTAAGAAGTCTCCTCGTTCGATAGCTGCTTGCATCTCGTTTTTGGTAGTGAAGTGGTAGTGTTGGCCATCCACTTCAAAACGCCTCGGCGATCGTGTGGTATGCGACACCGAAAAGCCAAACTTGTCAGGATATTCGTCAAACAGCTTGCGAAGGAGCGTCGACTTGCCGGAGCCCGACGGACCGCAGACCACCAACAGCCGAGAGTTCTGTCGCACCATTTTTGTCGTGACACCTATTATAGTACAATATGATCACACGGAAAAGGTTGAAGGAAACTGTGCGAAGTGGTTTCTGCAAACACAATTGACAACTAATAAGGCTTTGAACAGTCGGATAAGGTAGGAACGCGCGGGAATATTTTTGTTGATAAATGATAATCGATATTATTTCGGATGCTTTTCACTCGTGTGTACTAGGTATATTAGCCACTTTTATATATATATATATATATATTTATATATAGCTGTATCTCCTACGAAAGCGAATTAAAATAGAACAAAAACTAAGTTGACGTAAATCACGCGGTTGTACGAAATTACACAAACGAAATTATATAGTAATAATATTATGTAAACATTCCACACAGACGTGTGCTATCTGCAGCGATACCAAATTACCAAACACCGACAACAAAATATAGAACACAWACAACCACGGAACACGGTTGAATTTTGTTACGATTTCGCGGTAATAAACAAAAACAGTGATGCGATTGAGAGACGAGAAGAATTCGCGCAATAATTACTATATAATTGATGGGACAAGATTGGTACGAATCAGGTGTACCGCATAGAGTAATACTCTATCATGGTGTACCGTCACACGTCTACGGGAAGTATGGATTTTGGGAACGAGCAACGAGTGAAAAACGTCACGCGAAGAGCGGCGCCGGTAAATAACGTACACCGACCAATAGGTACACGTTGTTTCGGAGTACACATATTAAGGTAACGGTATACCTATTACCTCCACACCGTGCGACCATAGATAAGTAAAAGTATGTGACAATATTGTGATTGAACAGTGAGCAGTGACGGCGCTGGTTGGATGTTCGACGCCAGACGCCTTCTATCAGTCGCATCTAAATCCTCACCTCTTATAATCGCGAGCGG